CGGGCGCCGGGCGAGAGGCGGCCATCGCCGGTGCCCCCGACCCCCCGCGCCCTGCTCAGCTGTCCGCGCTGCCGGAAACTGCTGTACAAGCCGGTGACCCTCCCCAACGGGGTGACGGTCTGCAAGCGCTGCGTGGAGCTGGGGTCGCCGCGGCCGCAGATGCGACGCGTGAACGTGGTGCTGAGCGGCCTGATTGAGAGGTGCTTCCCGGGCGATTGCCGGCTGCGCAGGCTGGCGGGCCAAGCGCGGAATCTGCAGCGCCAGCAGCAGCTGGACGCCGCGCTGCTCAAGTGCGAGCAGGCCTTGGCCCTGGGTGAGTCAGCCAGGGTGCGGGCGCGGGGGGGGGGGAATTGGAGGGGAGGGAAGACGCCGCGGGGCTGCGCCCCTGGCGCACCTGTCGGGGCCTCTGGGCAGGGCTTGGGCGGTGGCTGGTCGGCGGCTCTAGATTTTCAAAGAGCTTTGTCCAGGCAAAGGGTCATTTTGCTTGCTAAAGTTAGCGAGGTGAAAGGTGGTTTGAGCCACACGGGGCGGGGGGCGGGAAGCGGTGTCCGGGTACCCCACGGATTGAGTGGTTTTTTTTTTTTTTTTTGTTTTGGACCCTGGTTGAATTTCCTGAGATTCCTGCTTTGCTTTTTCAATCCCTCTTCTCAGCTGTTCGGAGTGGGTGGATGACAAAGTGGTTTTGCTGATCCCATAGGAAAATGCAAATCACTGACGCACTGGAGATGCAGGACTCGGCGCCGGGGAGGGATTTGCTTTAGGGTTCAGCTGGTGTCCAGCAGAGGACCCGGATTCTTCATTCTGCGTTCATGACCTCATACTGTCTGGCTCTGTTCTGTCCCTCTGGAAGGCCATTGGATGTTGTTATGGCGTAGATAGGCAGGGTAGGAGAGTTGGTTTTAATGTCATTTATTTATCTTTACCTGAGGTTTCTGGCCAGAACCAGCCCCAGTATCCGAAATTACCACCTGTTAATAATAATGTGTAGTTTCAAGGAAAAGTCTGATCTCAGGCTTCTGTCTTTGTGCTTGACTTTAGGAGAATAGGATCAGTTAGCAGTTAGGGGCAGTGTGTGGAGGATTTATTTAATTATTTTTGGTAACAGTATGATTTAAATCAGGTTAAAAAAAAACCAAGGTGTAACCATTTCTTACTAAAAGAACCGTGTGTTTGGTCAGTATGCCTTTTAGACTTAGGGTGAAGGTTTTTTTGTCCCCCCCAGAAGGTACACAGGATGAAATGAAGTACCCTGTTGGAATAGGCTCTGCTGGAATAGAACCATTAACTAGCTTTATGTAACAGGTATTAAATATAGTGTTTGCAGCCATATTTTAACAAATTCTGTAATTGTGAATTTTCAGCTATATATGGTGTAGAGCAGTTTTATCCTGTGGTATTACAGTGGTAATCATATATGTAATTTAAATTTTATGGTAGCCATGTTAAAATGTGATAATATGAAATACAATTTAAAAAGTTTTTTAACCATACAATCAGAATATCATATGAACGTGTCCTCAGTATAAAAATAGCAAGATTGGCTGGGAATGTGGCTTAGTGGCAGAGTGCTTGCTGGGTTCAGTTCCTCAGTACCACATAAACAGAAAAAGCTGGAAGTGATGCTGTGGCTCAAGTGGTAGAGCACTTGTATTAAGCACAGAGAGGCTCAAGGACAGTGCCCAGGCCCTGAGTTCAAGCCCCAGAACCAGAAAAAAAAAAACGAGCAAGATTGTACTTTTTTTTTTTTTATAAAAAGGTCTTTGGAATAGTGTGTGTTTTTCATCCACTGCCCTTCCCATATCAGACACTTTTCATTGGAAATACCTATATTTTTAGTTATTTCACTTGAAATAACCATATTTAGATGTTGAAGATGACTTAGAAAAATGAGAACTTTCACGTGTGGTTGAGAGGACTGCAAGGTATCTCCGTGACACATTGTTTGGTACTGTCTACAAGTGTTAAAGTAGGAGCCTTAACCAGAAGTTTCAAAGAGGGGCATGTGTATATGCACTAACCATTTGTGCTCATCTTGTATATTGTCATTAAAGATAGTAGTAAAGTAGAAACAACCTGAGTACCCAGTGAGAACACAATGGGTAAATTATCTTATGATGCTTTCATGGCATGTTATTCAGAACAAAAAATAAGCCAGCCACAGTTACAAAGTACAGTGTCCATGAATCTCACAAATATAATACTCAGTGAAAGAAACCAGACTCAGTTTACCTGTAAATATAAGCAGGTAAATTACTATAGGTTGTTAGAAGAGAGGAAGTGGTTCTCCTTAATGGATGAAATGGAATAGTGATTGGGAGTAGGTGAGGGCAGATCTACTTGTTGATCAAAGGGATGGAGACAGTGATGTCGCCACCTGTGTGTTAAACTATGTACCATATTTTAAGTTTTACTTTGTATATATTGAACTCAGCTTGAGCATTTAAAGCTATTAGATTTTCCCAGTACATTTGTATGAAATCTTTTATTTGAATATTATTTTCTAAAGATTGGAAAGTAAAGCAAAAATTCCCTATTTAAGAAATGTCTGGAAGAGTGGTTGAGGATTTAGCTCAGTGGAAGAACATTTGCCTGGCAAGTGCAAGGCCTTGAGTTCAATCCTCAGCTCTGAAAAAAAAAATTGTATAGAAGAAAATGAAGCTGGGGACATAGCCCAATGGTTGAAGTCATGGCTTCAAGTCTCCACCAGCAGAAAACACGCACAAACATAATTTTTAAGTTCATGATGAATGGGTTCCACACAGAAGTTTTGGGATATTTAAAAAAAAAAGTTCACAGATGTTAGGAATCAAACTACTTGTGTTTAGATTCGGCTTTCACATGTATTTAACATTGTTCTCCTAAAGTTTCTTTCTGTATTTCTCCTGCAGATGAAGTAAACTGTCTTGGTTCACCTGAAATTCGGTTGAGACATAGGACTAATTTTGTCCAATAAATTGTCAGTAGAATTTACAATAAATAATATATTAGAGCAGAGTAATGTATGTAACAATAATAAATTCAGTAGATGTAGATGATTTGCTATAAAAAAGTAGATATTTTCTATTTGCAAGATACAAACTTAAGGTTGAAAATTAGTTAATTTAAAAAACATACTGTGTACATCAGAATTTGGAATGAAGGTACTCAGAAACAAGTCAATAGGAAATATCAAAACTGAATCACAGAAAGACAAGCTAGAAAACAGCAGAAAAAAATATATGGAACACAGACAAAAGTTCTAAGATCTATGAAATTGGAACCCCAGAAGAGATGGAGTAAGAGAAATATTGGAAGGAAAAAATTGTGGAAATATTCCAAAACTGATAATATACTTTGACTCAATCAAGTAAGCCCAACAGGGTAAGTACACATAAGATAAATATGTTTTGGTTGACTTACTGAAAAATCAAAGAGAAATTTAAAAGCAGAGAAGACAAGGGTGCTATTCCCTTTAAAGGAGCCATCTTTATGCAAAATTTTTGAAGCCAGAACATAATGGAATAACCCCCTTAAAGTGCTGAAGAAAAGAAAGAAGAAGCCTAACCAAAATTACTTACCCAGCTTAAAATACTTTTCAGAAATGAAGGGAAAAAAAGCAAAATGCTTCAAGCCAAATAAATGGAGCTTGAAGGATTTTATTTCCAACAGAGTTTTGTCACATGAAATACTGAGAGAAGGCTACAGGAAAATACAGATTATTTTGTAGCTCAGAAAGGCCAAAAGAGGGCTGGGAAGGTGGCTTAGTGGTATAGCGCTTGCCTTGCATGCCTGAAGCCCTGGGTTCGATTCCTCAGTACCACATAAGCAAATAGAAAAAAAGCCAGAAGTGGTGCTGTGGCTCAAGTAGTAGAGCACTAGCCTTGAACTGAAGAACTGAGGGACAGCGCCCAGGCCCAGAGTTCAGCCCCCACGACCGGACCCAAAAAAAGAAAAAAAAGAAAGGCCAGAAGATGGGAAGTAACTATATAAATAATCTAAAACACTAATGATTGTTTCAGACAGCAACAGTTTTTCATGGTATGAATGACATATGTAAAATTAAAGCATATGGCAGTGGCACAAAGCCAGGTTGGATAATATAGTACAGTTTGTGTAGTGCTTTCCGTGTAATGAAAGGATTAATTTAAAAGACACTGATAAATCAAGCTTGCATGTTTGTACTCTTGAGTAACTGTCAAAAGGATAACAAAAAGCAAAACTGTAAAACATATAGTGGAATAGCAAATGCTTAGTTCATCCAAAAGAAAGAAGGGAGAATAACAGCAGCCAAGAATAAGTGGGACAACTGGAAGGGAAAATTGAAGATTTTAATTAAGACCATTTAAACTAAATGTAAGTTGTTTGACTATTCTGCTTGAAAGGAAAAGGTTGACACTGAATTTAAGTGTAGCTCCATGTAACTTTCACATGGAGAAACTTTAGATAGAAGGACTATAAAAAGTTAGAGTTGATAGGATAGGAAATGGTGTTATGCAAAGATGACAAAAAGGATGGATGATATGCAAAATTACTATCAAATAAAGTATGAGAAATGGAGCAGTTTATGATGTATGGGCTGATTCAACAGAACAAAGCAATATCCTCAAGTTTGTATGCACTTAAGTGTATAACACAAAATGCCAGGTGACAAGATTAAAGTGAGGAAAGAGATCTTGAACAAAACACTTGGTGATTGATAAAATAAGGATGGAGAAGCAGGTAAGAATATAGAACACTATCAGCATTTTGATCTAATTCACTGTCACTGCCTACACCTTATCAGCTTCATAAAACTAGAGGCAGTATGTTAGATTTGGTATGTTAGGTTTAGTATGGTTATGTTTTCCAACTCCTTGGTTGGACCATAAAACTAATTGCAACAAATAATTGTAAGATCACTCTTACTGACAATCTGTTCTTTGAGCACCGTGGATTTACACTAAAATAAGCAGATAGAAAATCTTCAGATATTTGAGAATTAAGTGTTGCTTTTTAAATAACTTGTCTTACCTATTTCCTGCTGCTGTAACAGAGTACTATAAACCAGATTATAAGGAAAATAAATTTATCGTGCATGGTTTCAGAGTTTAGGAAGTTCATTGTCAGTACCTGGGGACCTTCTTGCTGTGTGATACAGCATGGCAAAAGGGCAAGGGGCACACAGCAGAGCTCACTTTGATAGGAAAGCCACTTGTATGATAACTAGCTCAGTCTTGTGAAAAGTGATGCTCATGGCCTAATAGCTTTTCAGTGCCTACATTACTTAATATTGTTACGATGGCAATTAATATTATAACTGGAAGAGACTTTCCAACTTACAGATCAAATGAGAAA